TTTATATTTATATATATATTTATATATTTTATATTTTTCAGACTCGGTGCTGGCTTAGTGGGATACCTCAAGCTTTAGTTTTTTATATTTTCTTATGTCTATATCTATATATCTCTATATCTCATATATCTATATATATCTATATATCTAAGTATCTATCTATCTATATCTATTTATCTACACCTATATCTATATCCATCTATAGATCTATATATCTACATATCTATATCTATAGATCTATTTGTCTATATCTACATATATCTCTATATATCTATCAATAGCTATCAATATCTAAATCTATAGATCTATTTATCCACACCTAATCTATATCTATATATCTATATATCCCAATGTATCTACAGATCTATAGCTATATACATTATGTATCTGTAGATCTCCATCTCTATCTATATATCTATTTATCTATATCTACATATCAATATCTAATAGAATTATAACGTCTACATTATCTCACTCTTCCCATGAGACCAAAACCAGAACAAAACTTCTAAAACAACACAAACCCCCTGGGAGCGCCCCCTCCCCTGGGTGGGACCAGCACCCCCGAGCCCAGCAGGAGCCCCAGACCCCCAGTGACCCCAGACCCCACTGACCCCTGACCCCCTGTGACCCCAGACCCCCAGTGACCCCAGATCCCCACTGACCCCAGAACCCCCACTGACCCAGACCCCACTGACCCAGACCCCACTGACCCCCCGGTGCAGCGCGGTCCGGCCCCTCTTGTCGGCGGCGTCGGCCGTGGAGCCCTTGTCCAGCAAGAGATGGACACAGTCCACGTGGCCGTTCATGATGGCCAGCATCAGAGGGGTCCTGGATGGGAAAGGGATGGAGAACTCATGGAGACCACCAAGAAACTGGAGGGGAAAGGGATGGAGAATTCATGGAAACCACCAAGAAACTGGAGGGGATGGGATGGAGAATCCATGGAAACCACAAGAAACTGGAGGGGAAAGGGATGGAGAATCCATGGAAACCACCAAGAAACTGGACGGGAAAGGGATGGAGAACTCATGGAGACCACGGTGGTGAAGGACACAGGAATGGGGGTGAAGGACAATCAGGAATGGTGCTGAAGGACACTTAGGATGGTAGTGGCACCTCTGGATAAGATAGTTAAGCAGGAAAAAATGGAAGGTTCTTGTGCAGAGGACGTGGGATGGACTGAGCACAGCTCCCACTCCTCAGGAAGGAGCAGAAGAGCTGGGAAAGGTCAGGAGAAGCTCCTTTGGAACCACTTTCCCTCTCATGATCCCCCCGTGATTTTATCACTAATAAACCCAATTAATGAATATCCCAAATTCCAGCCCGTTCTGGCCGTGCTGGAGCCGCTGAGGGATCTCTCCTGGTCCTTATCTCAAGCTGGGACCTTGCAGCAGGTCTCCCTGCCTGGCCCAGGTGGCTCTGGTGGCCGCAGGTGGCACTCACTGGCCGTGGATGTCCATGACGTCCGTGATGTCCGCCCGCTCGCCGCTGTCGATCAGGAGGTGCAGGGAATCCGTGTTCCCGTTGGCAGCTGGGCACAGGAACGGGAAAACGGGAGGAGGAAAAGGGAGGAGGAAATGGGAGGAGGAAATGAGGGAGGAGGAAAATGGGATGAGAAAAAGGGAGGAGGAAAAGGGAGGAGGAAATGATGGAGGAGGAAAAGGGAGGAGGAAAATGGGAGGAGGAAATGAGGGAGGAGGAAAAGGGAGGAGGAAAAGGGAGGAGGAAATGAGGGAGGAAGAAAAGGGGATGAGGAAAAGGGAGGAGGAAAATGGGATGTGAAAAAGGGAGGAGGAAAAGGGAGGAGAAAACGAGGGATGAGAAAAAGGGAGGAGAAAACGAGGGATGTGAAAAAGAGAGGAGGAAAATGGGATGAGGAAAATGGGAGTAGGAAAAGGGAGGAGGAAAAGGGAGGAGGAAAATGGGATGAGGAAAATGGGAGGAGGAAATGAGGGAGGAGGAAAAGGAAGGAGGAAAATGGGATGAGGAAAATGGGAGGAGGAAATGAGGGATGAGAAAAAGGGAGGAGGAAAATGGGAGGAGGAAATGAGGGAGAAAGAAAATGGGATGAGGAAAAGGGACGAGGAAAAGAGATGAGGAAAAGAGGGATGAGGATAAGGGGGAGAAGGAAAAGAGGGATGAGGAAGACAGATGAGGCAGAGGAACAAGGCGAAAAGAGACAACAAAACCCCAGAAACCCCAAACCCCTCAGGAAGAAACTCATCCCCTGGGGTTTCTGGGTTCTGCTAAGCCCTGTCCCCATCCCTTCCAGCACCCAGAACCCCTCAGGAGCCCTCCCAGGACACCCCCAGAACCCTTCCAGGACTTTCCCAAGACACTTTGGGAACCCTCCCAGGACCTTCAGGAGCAACAGAACACCAGAACCCTCCTAGGACCTTCCCAGGACACCCCCAGAACTGTCCCAGGACCTTCAGGAGCCCCAGAACCCCTCAGGAACCCTCCCAGGACATTCCAGAACCCTTCCAGGACCTTCAGGAGACCCAGAATCCCTCAGGAACCATTCCAGGACATTCCAGAACCCTTCCAGGACCTTCAGGAGCCCCAGAATCCCTCAGGAACCCTCTCAGGACATTCCAGAACCTTTCCAGGACCTTCAGGAGCCCCAGAACCCCTCAGGAACCCTCCCAGGACATTCCCAGGACACCCCCAGAACCCTCCCAGGACCTTCAGGAGCTCCAGAACCCCTCAGGAACCCTCCCAGGACCCAGAACACCCCAAGAACCCTCCCAGGACATTCCAGAACCCCTCAGGAACCCTCCCAGGACCCAGAACACCCCAAGAACCCTCCCAGGACATTCCAGAACCCCTCAGGAACCCCTCCCAGGTGCCACCTGCAGCGTGGAGAGGCGTCCACTTCCTCTTCCTCTCCTTGACCAGGGCGGAGGCGCCGTGGCTGGTGAGCACCTGCACGCACTCGCTGGCGCCGCGCTCCGTGGCCAGGTAGAGCGCGGTGCGGCCCTTGTGGTCCCGCACGTCCAGGTTCACCAGCGTCTCAGCCAGAGCCTTGAGGGCTTCACAGTGACCATTGTAGGCCTGGGCACAGGGGACACACAGGTGGCAGTGGAAGTGTCCCTCAGGTACCCAGAAATGTCCTTCAGGAACTCAAAGTGTCCTTCAGGTACCCAAAGTGTCCCTCAGGAACTCAAAGTGCCCCCCAGGTACCTGGAGGGCACCCAAAATGTCCTTCAAGTACCCAAAGTGTCCCTCAGGAACTCAAAGTGTCCCCCAGGTACCCAAAGTGTCCTTCGGGTAACCAGAAATGTCATTCAGGAACTCAAAGTGTCCTTCAGGCAGCCAAAGTGTCCTTCAGGTACCCAGAAATGCCCCTCAGGTAACCAGAAATGTCCTCCAGGTACCCAAAGTGTCCTTCAGGTGCCCTAAATGTCCCTCAGGTACCCAAAACTGTCCCTCAGGTACCCAAATGTCATTCAGGTATTCAAAGTGTCCTTCAGGTAACCAGAAATGTCATTCAGGAACTCAAAGTGTCCTTCAGGCAGCCAAAGTGTCCCTCAGGTACCCAAAATTTCCCTCAGGCACCCAAAGTGTCCCCCAGGTACTCAAAGTGTCCTTCAGGTGCCCAAAGTGTCCCCCAGGTACCCAAAGTGTCCTTCAGGTACCCAGAAATGTCCCAGGAACTCAAAAGTGTCCTTCAGGTACCCAGAGTGTCACCCAGGTAACCAGAAATGTCCCCCAGGTATCCAAAGTGTCCCTTGGGCACCTAAAGTGTCCTTGAGGCACCCAGAAATGTCCCTCACCAGCGTCTCAGCCAGAGCCTTGAGGGCTTCACAGTGACCATTGTAGGCCTGGGCACAGGGGACACACAGGTACCCAAAGTGTCCCTCAGGAACTCAAAGTGTCCCCCAGGTACCTGGAGGGCACCCAAAATGTCCTTCAGATACCCAAAGTGTCCCTCAGGAACTCAAAGTGTCCCTCAGGTACCCAAAGTGTCCTTCGGGTAACCAGAAATGTCCTCCAGGTACCCAAAGTGTCCTTCAGGTAACCAGAAATGTCCCCCAGGTACCCAAAACGTCCCTCAGGTACCCAAAGTGTCCCCCAGGCACCCAAAGTGTCCTTCAGGTAACCAGAAACGTCCCTTGGGTACCCAGAAAAGTCCCTCAGGCATCCAAAGTGTCCCTCCCAGAAATATCTCCCCCAGAAACCTTCCAGGACCTGCAGGAGCCCAGAATCCCCTGAGAACCCTTCCAGGACACAGAACACCTCAGGAACCCTCTCAGGACCCTCCAGAACCCTTCCAGGACACTTTAAGAACCCTTTCAGGACCTGCAGGAGCCCAGAACCTCTCAGGAACCCTCCCAGGACATTCCAGAACCCTTCCAGGACCCAGAACACCCCCAGAACCCTTCCAGGACATTCCAGAACCCTTCCAGGACACTTTAAGAACCCTTCCAGGTCCTGCAGGAGCCCAGAACCGCCCAGGAACCCTTCCAGAACCCTTCCAGGACCCGCAGGCACTCACAGCTAAGTGCAAAGGGCTGACTGGAACGGTGCTTTCCACATCCTCCAGGCAGTTAAAGGACATTTCCAGGAGCTGCAAGGGAAAAACCCCAAATCCAGAACTGACCCCGGAGCCTCCCACACCCACCCCGAGCTGCAGAAGGGACAAAAACCCCAAAAACTCCAACCCCAAAACACCCAAAACCCCAAAAACTCCCACCCCAAAATCCCAAAACCTCTGACCCCAAAACCCCAAAAACTCCCACCCCAAAACTCCAAAACCTCTGACCCCAAAACCCCAAAACCCCAAAAACTCCCACCCCAAAACCCCAAAAACTCCAACCCCAAAACTCCAAAAACTCCCACCCCAAAACCCCAAAAACTCCAACCCCAAAACTCCAAAAACTCCCACCCCAAAACCCCAAAAACTCCAACCCCAAAACCCCAAAAACCCCACCCAAAACCCCAAAAACCCCACCCAAAACCCCAGAAACCCCAACCCCAAAACCCCAAAAACCCCAAAACTGGGGATGGGCTATTCCAAAATTCCCATTTTTCCTGACTCCCATTCCCATCCTTTCTCCCAGGTCAAGTTTTTCAGCTCAGATTTTCCCCATTCCTGGGGGATTTTCTCTCTTCTCCTGGGGGGATTTTCCCTCTCTCCTGGATTATTTTCCCTCTTTGCCAGGGAGATTTTCCCCAGTTCCTGGAGCTGATTTCCCCCCATTTCCTGGCTGATTTCCCCCCCTTTCTTGGGGGTGTTTTCCCCCTTCCCTGGAGGTGATATTCCCTATTTCCTAGTGGATTTTTCCCATTCCCTGGGGGTAATTTTCCCTATTTCCTAGTGGATTTTCCCCATTCCCTGGGGGTAATTTTCCCTATTTCCTAGTGGATTTTTCCCCTTTCTTGGGGGTGTTTTCCCCCCATTTCCTGGGGGTGTTTCCCCATTTCCTGGGGGTGATTTCCCCCTTTTTCCTCGATGATTTTCCCCTTTCCTGGGGGTGTTTTCCCCCTTCCCTGGGGGTAACTTTCCCTCTTGCCTGGGGGTGTTTTCCCCCATTTCCTGGAGCTGTTTTCCCACATTTCCTGGGGGTGTTTTCCCCCATTTCCTGGAGCTGTTTTCCCACATTTCCTGGGGGTGTTTTCCCCCATTTCCTGGAGCTGTTTTCCCACATTTCCTGGGGGTGTTTTCCCCCATTTCCTGG